AGATAAACAAAAAGTAGTTCATCTAAAGCCTTAAAAAAATATTAAAAGGTTTGAAAATTGAGAAAAAAAATACTATGAATTAAGTTTTATAAAGCTCTGGTATTTGTGACGTGATTGTGAGCATGTTATTCCTAAATGAGTACTACAGTCAAACCTGTTGATAGTGACCACCACAAGCTTTATAGACAGGTGGTCTTAATATAGAGTTTGAATAATTTGTGAATAAACATGTGACAATAATTTCTCAGTTTAATAGGCAGATGTGTAAAGCACTACATAGAATTTATAGACTGGTTTATTTGTCCAAACTGATGCGAATGAATTCACTGGTCACATTATACTGTTGGTCTTTATGTAACTGGTTACTTCAAATCTCATTGGGACTGCCCACTGATGTACAGTTGGTCTTAATAAAAAATAATCACCAGCACAGGTTTGACTGTACTTTGAAAATGACTTCTTCACTTTATTCATGCATTTATTCTTTACCTTGAAATTTTAAAATAAAATGTATTTTAAAGTAGGTGCCAATTATTGGATTTTTTTTTTGATAGTTTTAAGAATTCATTGTTCTATAAATAGATTTTATTCTTGTATGGCTGATTATATATTGTCATCAGATTCATAATTGTTAAAATGGCAAAAAAGAAAAAAAAAAAGTATGTACAATGTTCTTACATTGACTAATGCCTTAATATTTCATTCTCAATTATATCATCATTTTTTGTTTTTGACATGTTTTATAATCTTGTTGATTTTTTGGAACATCTTTCCTTTTGCAGTGCACTGTAGTAGCTGAAACGTGGACGGATGAAAAACACCTACCCGCCCACCGATTTTCTAAGTAGCCAATTTTTGCATATTAATTATTTGGCCATCTTGAATACATTACAGAAACGTTTGGCATTGTACATATTTTAAAACACATTTTGATCTATTGTTGGGTTATATTGAGTTCATGTTAGAATTTAAAAGTTTGATATAAATATAGGATTGTCAGCGATAACTTTCAAGAGTATCAGCGCTGTTTTCTTTTCAATAATATAAGTAAACTAAATCCCTAATTGTTGTCATCAAAGTACTATGTATTGATGGTCAATTTCAATCTTTCAACTAAGTAGACTTGTTTTACCATATGAGAAGGCCAAAAAAGTCCCCCTCCTCTTCCAATAAAAAAGATGTTTCTTACCATATAAGGGTAAATTGGGCCCCTAGATGTATCAAGCGTACACACCATAGTGATCCTACAAAGACTACTTGAATCCACAATCATAGATTAATTATCAGTTTTCTTGTACTTTGTATATTGTAATGCATGCAATGATTGGCACAGTGAAAATTAACCTTAAACTGTATGTATTGAACAAGTGATCAATGGTCACATAGTAGTATATATAGTATTTGATTATCTCATTGGGTTACTTAAATATTGGTTGTGCTTGTGTGTTGAGTTTTGTTAAACCGAATAAGTAATTTTATTGTTTGTTCTTTTGTTCGAAAAATTCATAAATTAGTGTGACAAATTCCCATTAACTGATGCACCAGTTAAACTTGAATTGTTAAAGATCGGCAAAAATGCCCACACTAAATTATTAATACTACTTAAGCTAGTAACAGGGGTAAAATAAGTTCCAACGTTGTGATTCAGACACTCAAAAACGTACTTAAGCATATTACCTATATAACAACCTATACATCATGTGAATATGGCAGCAGTACATGTACTGTACCTATGTTTAATTACCTAACGATTCATTTTGCTTTTGTGCCTTATTTTGGCTATACCAACTATTTTGAAAATGCCATTTTTTAACATTTCAGTAACACGATTGATTGACACATGTTGGACGTAATGATGTATGCTAGAGAATAGTGTCTCGGTTTTTCTTTACCTGCCGTTGTTTGCTAGCTAAAACCATGGAGGTAAAAAGATTCCTTTCTAGCTCCATGCTACAACCAAATAACTACAGACATACTACAGTATCATGTCTGTCTTGTTTTGATCATCACTGGAAAACAAAGGCTGTTATAACATCCTGTGCTATTGACAGATCAATCATTTTTTTCAATGGTCAGATTAGTCCAAAAAAAGCGCAATAACGAAAATGGCCATAAGGTAATCCCTTAGATAAAGATTGGTACAGCATTTGCACTACCATATTTGCCTATATTTAAGCTTTCAGATGATGTATGGGTTGTTATAGTAGCATGCTCAGTATTTAAGCTTGTTTTCCCTCTGTTTCTACCTTGTCCCCACTATGCATATGGGCTAAGATGCTTTTTATTTCATTATAGACCTATAAGATGCATTTACTTCACCACCATCTCATTGCTGGCCAATGAAAGATGTTTGCATCATATAGTTGCCAATCAAAAGATTTGTTAACGTCATTATCTCATTGTTGGACAGATGTGTTAACATCACTACCATCTCATTGTTGGACAATCAGAGACATGTTAACATCACAACTATCTCATTAGCCAATCAGAGATGTGTTAACATCACTACCATCTCATTATTGGCCAATCGGAGATTTGTTAACATCACAACTATCTCATTAGCCAATCAGAGATGTGTTAACATCACTATTATCTCATTATTGGCCAATCAGAGATGTGTTAACATCACTATTATCTCATTATTGGCCAATCAGAGATGTGTTAACATCACTATTATCTCTTTGTTGGCCAATCAGAGACGTGTCTTTGATGGATGACATCCTTTGTGTTTTGGCTCCATATGATATATCTACCACATACTCTTATTATCAGGAAAATTAATTACCTGTGTTTGGTGCGCATGTTTTGTGAGTTGTACATTAGAATAATAATTCTGTGTCTTTCTTAGTTCGTTTTAAATCATTTGTGTTAAGAGATGAAATGATGTCGTTTATACTAAGAGTGACATGCACAAGTGACGGAGTTTTATGTGCATTGCAGCACCTTGTCAATTCCTGATATTTAACAGCTTTGGTGAAACAGCTGTATGATAACCTTCCCACCCCTTCTATACGCTGGTATATTTTCTATTCTATTTGCATACAAATGTATTGCTATTATTGAAATGAATGGTACTGGTGGAATCGTATTTATTTATAAATATTATACGATCTTGGTACCCAATGTCGCACTCCCAGCACTATGAACATAGATACTGCTCCAACTTTGGGTTTGTAAATTTATCTTGATTGCTTTGGAGGATCTTTTTAATTTCAGTGTCATGTCTACTAGTTATCTTGGTTACTGTTTTTTTTTATCTTTGTGATTATGCTGTCTGATGAATTGACAACTTGCATCACTTGTACATAAGGTTTTCCAAGGAATGAATGTGCAAGGGTAACGTTATGTAATGTGCTCTTTACTTTCAAGGAAAATAAAATGGTGACTTAAGTCACTGATAAATTCTATCAATTGTTGTTGCTTCATTCTTTTAGGGTGAGAATGTTTTGAGAAACTCAAAAATCTGATGACATTTTCTTCATACTTTCAACATTGTGGATCTGTGCCATAAAGATACCGAC